AGAGAGAGAGAGAGAGAGAGAGAGAATCCTAAGCAGGCTCTGCGTTGAGCCTCGATCCCACACTTAACCCACTGAGCCACCCAGGCGCCCCATGAATACATTCTTGAATCAATGATCGGCTGAATGACTGAACAAAGAAATAAAGGAATGAGTTCCTTTATCCCACAATGGGTTGGGTCCTTTGACGTCCTCAGCCGCACCTGAAGTCCTTAGCAGACGCTCATTCCCATCTCATATTGGTATCACGTGAAGGGGGGCCCAAGCGAAGCTTTCCTCTTCTGTCTCTGCCTTACTGACTCTTCCCCCTGCGTGGCTCCCTGGGTCATCCCTCTGCTGTAAGCAGCCTCCCTCCAGAAGCCTCCAGCCCCTTCGTGGAGATGCTTTCTGGGTATCCCCTCCCTGTCTCCTGTCCACGTTTGGGCAGCCTGCAGAGATGAGCTCCCCACCCCACCCAGACACCTGTAACCCCTGACTGTGGGGCTGAGGCCGCCCCAGCCCTGAGGAGTGTCCAGCTCAGGAGATCACTTTCCCGTGTCCGTTTCCCCTCCCCAGGCTCCCCTGACCCCGCCCTGCCCCCCAGCTTCCCCAGCCTGGGGCTTCCCCTGGCTCCCCAGACAACCTCGGGCTGTGTTCTGCCATGTCAGCCCAGACGGCCCATCTGTCCGGGCCACATGGTGTGACATGGAGCTGAGGCAAGAATGAGCTCCCAGGAGGACGTGGAAATTTAGGCACTGTCATTGTCATCGGGGACAGAGCTGCAGCTGGCACCCGGAAGGGGAGACTGAGGCCCCAGGGCAACAGATCCCAGGGCAGCAGCCTCCTCCTCCTCTTGGTGAAAGAGGCTCAGGAGCCAGGAATGCAGCCAGGTGCGGGGCCCTAGAGGGAGGACACCATTGTGAGTGTCCCTTTCATTGCTCCTGCCGGGGTCCACCTCTGCCTCTGCTCTCCAGAAAGAGTCAGTCGCCCCACAGGCCTGGACCTGCCGCCCCTGCCTCTTCCCCAAGACCCGGGAGCTGCGACAGCTGCAGGTGAGGGGACAGTCAGGCCCACCCCTGCCCTCACCTGTCCCCTTGCCCTTCTCCTTCTCACCGCCCCTCTCTCCTCACCCTCCCAACCTGTCCTCTCTCACCTGCCTCTGTCTCCTGTCCCCAGGTGTGGGAGCGCCCCGTGGCCTTGGAGGCTGAGCTGGCCCTGAGGCTGAAGGTCCTGGGGACCGTGGCTGACGCGTCCCAGGGGGACATCCTGGATCAGCCCCTTCACATGCTGCGCCACATCCATTCCGAGCTCCGGGCCTGTGTGAGCACTCAGGGCACCCAGGCCGTGTCTGCGCTCTGACCACCTGAACGTCCCCTTCTGTCCTGGGCCCTGCCTCACATGTCACCCTCCTCTGCCCCAGCAGGCCCCCAGACCCAAGGCCGCCTCCACCACTGGCGTTCCCGGCTCCACGAGGCCCGAAGAAGGTGAGTGACCAGGGAGTGACTGGTATCTGGGGACAGCTGGGAGCCCAGATGATAGTCACTGACCCATCCCTTCCTCCCCACTGAAGTCCCTCAGCTACCTGGAGGCCTCTGTAATGTTCAACCTCTTCTACCTCCTCATCCAGGACCTGAAAGGTGTCACTAGTGAAGACTCTTGTGTCTGATCACTGAGACCCACCTGTAGCGTGTCCCTTAGATATTATTGCCACACCAACAATCTCCCCTAGATTATTGCTTCCAGATCCCTATTTGTTTATGAAGCCCCCAAAAGATGTTTGTCTCATGCTTTTCATAAAATGTCTGAAAACAAACTATTTGTGACATTGATCCTGTTTGTATGTGACTGCGTAAATGACTGCACGATTGCACAAGTGACTGTGGCCCTCTGAGTGTGTGTGTGGGGAGGGGGCAGCAAAGGAAGGGGGGAGAGGGTGATAGAGAGAGTTCATGAAAGAATGAATGAGGAGGGACAGGCTCACTAAGGACGCTTTCACCTGCAAGTAGCGGAAGATTTCATCGCAAGCTACTTAAACAAGCAGTTGTGATACCAAGTCATAACATGTCTGGATGGAGGCTGTGGCTGTCAGATCAGTGGGACAAGGGCTTTATCATGGACCTAGGGTCTGTATCTGAGTATTTCTAAGGATATGTGTCAATCTTGTGTTTGTGGTTCCTCCCCTAAACCTACTGTGGTTCCCATTCCAGAGTGATAATTGTCATGGTGGAAATCTCTTGGGAGGGATGTCAGAGTTGTCACCAAGAAGTCATTTACGTTACACCGTGGACATCATTCTATGCAGACAGTTGTGTCCTTTGCAAACAGTTTTATTTATTCTTTCCCACCCTTTACACTTTTATTTCCTTTTCTTGCCTTATTGCACTGGACGGAACTGTAGTACTACATTGAATAAGAATGGCCTGAGAAGGCACATTTTCTCTCTTCTACAGGGAAAGCCTTCAGTCTTTCACCATTAAGTGTAATGTTAACTCTTTATCAACTTGTAGATACTCTTTGTAGACACTCTTTATCAACTTGAGGAAATTCTTATCTGTCCCTATTTTTATAAGAGGTGTTTAAAAATTATGAGTGAGTGTTGAAGTTTGGCAAATGTATTTTCTGCATTGATTGATATGATCACATGAGTTTTCTTCTTTAGCCTGTTTTGGTGGATTATACTGATTAGTTTTCAAATACTGACCAGTCTTGCATCCTTGGACGAACCCCATTGGATCATGGTGTATAATTCTTTGATCTATTGCTGAATTCTATGTGCGAATATTTTGTTAAAGAGTTTTGTGTCGGGGCGCCTGGGTGGCGCAGTCGGTTAAGCGTCCGACTTCAGCCAGGTCACGATCTCGCGGTCCGTGAGTTCGAGCCCCGCGTCAGGCTCTGGGCCGATGGCTCGGAGCCTGGAGCCTGTTTCCGATTCTGTGTCTCCCTCTCTCTCTGCCCCTCGCCCGTTCATGCTCTGTCTCTCTCTGTCCCAAAAATAAATAAACGTTGAAAAAAAAAAAAATTTAAAAAAAAAGAGTTTTGTGTCTATATTCATTACTTTTGTGTGTGTGTGAGATAACAAATTCACCTCACTTTTTAAGCTAGTTGAGGTAGTACTTTCTGTTATTTGTAGCCAAAACATCCTTAATGATACACGTGGAAGTGAAAGGTGAGTTTCCCTCAAAGCTGAAGAGTTCTGGCTGCATGGGATTATTTGTCACCATCATTCCCTGGGACTGCAGTCGGTATGAAGTGTACAAAGTATCCTTGTATTCAGTACCCATGGAGGAGAGTCAGGAATATGGATAATCTGGGGCTGCAGTCTGGGGAACCAGGCTCTTCTGCCCACTCCCATCTCTGTGACACCCCTCTCTTTAAATCTGTTTCTGGAACGTTTCACTCCATCTCTTTCAAATCTCTTCTTTCTCGTATTCACTACTCCATCACTTCCTCTCTCTTTCCATACAGATTACCTTTCCCTCTACCTTCCAGAAGCTGCAAGGTAGAAATTCCTCATCATCTACACCACTCTCCTACCTTGCTCCTCTATCCCCATGGATGAAGTGTCTTTCAGCCTGACTTGGGCCAGTGCCTGATCCTGGCCCCTCTTAATTCACTCCCCCATAAAATACCCTTCTCTTGTCCTCTATTTTTCAAAACCTTCTTTACAAGTATTTGCCCATCATCAGGCTCACCTTTCTTAGTCCATAGGCTTCTTTCCAACTATTTCTCCATATCTTTTTTCCATTGGCTCCACTTCCTTACCTACCCCACTCTCCAGAGCCCCTACAGTTGGCTTCTTCCCCAAGAGCTCCACTCAACACCAACAATCTCTTCACAGCTAAATCCTGTGATTGATTCTCTAGTTCTCACCCCAGATGGCCTCCCAGCAGCATAGAACCCATTCTTCATCCATTCCTTCTTGTAACTCTCTCCCATTTTGATATTTGTGATATTATACTTTTCTTATCTTCCTTCAAATTCTGGCTTCTACTTCTCAGTCACATTTTCTGGTTCTCTTTCTTCTTCCTACCTCTTAAATACTAGAGCTTCTCAGAGTCCTGTCCCTTTTCTTGCTTCCCTCTTTATGGTCTCTCTGGACTTATACATTTCTATATACATGATATACATTCATACATACATGAATTCACCAACAACCTTCTTGCTGATTACTCTTGTATCAGTCAACGTAGGCCAGGTTATGCTATCATAACAAATAGTTCTCAAATTTCAGTGGCTAGTAACAACAAATGTTTATTGCTCATTCAATATGACCATCATGGGTAGGCTGACTCCCAGCTCCTCACTGGGATCCAGGATAAAGGTGTAGCCCTAACTGGGATATTGCTGGTCTTAGAGTAGAGAGATTAGAGTACATGATGGTCTATGTACTCATTCTTAGAGCATCTGCTCCAAAATGGTACACATACTTTCATTGGAAAAAACAAATGACATAACCAAGACTGAGGTCAATAGGGCAGAGATTTGTAATTCCCTCCCAATAAGTGGATTCCTCACTTTAAAAAGTAAGAACAGGGGCACCTGGGTGGGTGGCTCAGTCAGTTGAGCGCCTGACTCTTGATTTCAGCTCAGGTCATGATCACAGGGTTGTGGGATCGAGCCCCACATTGGGCTCCATGGTGAACGTGGAGTCTGCTTGGGATTCTCTCTCCCTCCCTCCCTCTGCCCCTCTTCTCTCCTTGTGTGCTCTCTCTCTCTCTCTTTCTCAACAAACAAACAAACAAACAAACAAACAAACAAATAAATGTAAGAACATAATTTGAATGATAAGGCAGTCTAATACATTCTAAAGTCATATCTCCAACTCTAATTTCAAGGACAGGGACAAATTAGCTTTGTTCTTGTGCATAGAAAACAGCTCAAGTTCAGATCCACACTGGACCACTTCATAAGCCAATAGCAACAAAAACTCTAATTCTAAAGGTCCCCTTGCCATCTTCTGAATAATGATCCATAGAAAGGGATTGGCCCGTGGAAACCCCTCTAAGAGCCAGTCTACTGCACCCAGAAGGCAGCACCAGTGGCTGCTCTCCATGGTTCTGAACACCGCTATCTGCCAGAGCAGGGTGGTTTCTTCCATCCCTTGGATCTTGATGAATGCCTGTTAACATCTTCAGCACTTAGAGGTAATGGTGGTGGTGGTGGCTTTTATTTTTGAGAGAGAGCGCGCGAGAGAGTGTGTGCCAGTGGGGGAGGGACGGAGAGACAGAGGGCGGGGCGGGGGGGCAGGGAGAATCTCAAGCAGGCTTCATGCTCAGAGGGGAGCACAACATGGGGCTCGATTCCACAACCATGAGATCATGACCTGAGCTGAAATCAAGAGCCAGATGCTTAACCGACTGTGCCACCCAGGTGTCCCGGTTGTTTTTTAAACGAAATACTGTAACATCACATATAGTTGTAGAACAAAAAGAACCATACCATTGTGTATTAAATGCAAATATGTTTATCAGGACTTTTTTTTTTTTCTTAAATAATAGAAAACCCCAACTCAAAACAATCAGGAATTTGTAATCTCATATAACCAGAGGTCTAAGGGTAAAATAGGCCAAGAGTTGGCTAATTCAGGAACTCACAGTAATGTTATCAATAATCCAGATTCTTCCTATCTCTCAGCCTTGCCATTCTCAGCATTTTAGCTTCACCCTTAAGTTAGGCCAACTTATGGTCACACGGGAGCTACTACAGTTCCAGACATTACATCCTCTTGGCAATATCCAGAGGAAGAAAAGGGACAGCATCCTACCACTCCACAGATTCAGCTCTTCTCCAGCCCACCAATCATCTCCATATTGCTAAACTCAGTGGTTGATTCTCAGTCCAATCCTCATGATCTATTCATAGTTGTTGATATAGGGGATCATTCTTTGTTCTGTGAAGCATACTCTTCGCTAGTTCCCACTTGCCTGATTTTCCTTCTACCTGTCTGGCGGCTCCTGCTCAGTCTTATTTTCTGATTATTCTCCTCCTCTCCCACTTATAGACATTGGAATATACCAGGGCTCATCCTGGTCTTTATCTTTCCTCAATCTGTGATGCATTCGTCTATTCTCATGGCTTTAGAACATAACCAGCCTCTACAGTCATAGCTCCTGGGACAGATTGAATTCTTGCTGCAAATTCTCCCCCACACCCCCAAATCCACATCATTGGCATGGCCTCACTGAAGACAGAGTTTACTTCCCTGCCTCTCGATTTTGGACCAAGTCATGTGGATTTTTAAAGCCAATGATGTATGTCTAAAAGTGATGATGTGTCGTTCTCAAGCTAAGCCAAGCCTCATGGGTTTCTACTTGCCTGGGCTTTGGCCATGGCAATGAGAAGAGCTCCCCTGGCTTGCTGCTGTCCTTCAGGCTGGCCTCGGCTCTGAACCAGCCAGACCCACAGCTTGAAGCAGAGCCACCCATCTGAACCTGGCCGGAATCTGCCAGAGATTATCAGAGCCACCCCCAGCTGATCTGCAGATGCTGGGCTCGGTAAGTGGTTATTGTGGTTTTGAGATATTTGTGATTATTTATTACACAGCACAAAGTGACTGATACCCCTCCCAAATTTTGATCTTCAGACCTCACCCCTGAACTCCAAGCTTATACATCAAAGTGACTACCGAACAACTTCATTTAGATGTCCAATGGGCTTCTCAAACTT